AATTATTTAGAGGATGGAGACCTAGTACCCTACTATGCCCAAGCTATGGCTTGTGCTGCAACTTCACAACAAGCATGAAGTTATGTACAAGTGTGTTATTTCAGGTTCTAAGATTATCTTTCTTGGTAAAGTAATTCATTTATGAAATTAGTCAATGAATCGATATTTATCAAGTTTAACATGTTCAGGATAAGAATTGCTAGGAGAGGAAGGAGGAGGAGATGGAGAAGAAGACGGAGAAGAAGAAGAAGAAGAAGAAGAAGAAGAAGAAGAAGAAGAAGAAGAAGAAGAAGAAGAAGAAGAAGAAGAAGAAGAAGAAGACAGAAGAAGAAGAAGAAGAAGAAGAAGAAGAAGAAGAAGAAGAAGAAGAAGAAGAAGAGGAGGAGGAGGAGGAGGAGGAGGAGGAGGAGGAAGAGGAAGAGGAGGAGGAAGCAGTACTACCACCACCACTCCCCAGGGTATTGATAATGAAAGAACACAAATTATCAAATTATATCGATAAATAGTCAAACTGTAACTGATATGGATTATAAGTTGCAATGAGTCATGGGAGTAGGGTATAAGAAACAGCAGCACTGGGGAAGCAGAGGCAGGTGAATCTGTGAGTTCGAGGACAGCCTGGGCTACAGAGCGAGTTCCAGGACAGGCTCCAAAACCATACAGAGAAACCCTGTCTCAAAAAACCAAACCAACAACAATAACAACAACAAAAAAGAAACAGCAGCAAATGCACTACTTCATGTCAAACAAAATTAGTTAGAAAGCACAGGTTCACTGGGCAGAGAGAGAGAGAGACAGAGACAGAGACAGAGACAGAGAGAGACAGAGACAGAGAGAGAGGGAGGGAGGGAGGGAGGGAGGGAGGGAGGGAGAGAGAGAGAGAGAGAGAGAGAGAGAGAGAGAGAGAGAGAGAGAGAGAGAGAGAGAGAGAGAGAGAACAAATGGCCTACCCAGGGCAGAAGCAGGAGATGGGGAGTGACAGTAACCAGACACTACCTATCTACAGCTGCCCAAGAAAGACAGGACCAAGGAGGAGGTATCAATGTCATAGACTCTGAGGCCAGATAACATTCCTTTCCGGTTCTAGCTTTGCCACCTACGGGTGTCACTCTCTCCTTCTGCTAGAGATGACAGCAGCAGCTGCCTCTGAGAATCCCTGATGTGTGTGCTAGGAAGCTCCTTTTACAGAAGGTCAAACAACAGTTTTCTCAATCTCACCCCTGCAGAGGGGCCAGGGTCCTACTGAAGGGTCTTGGTGTGGAGTGATGAGATAAATCATTCCTCACTCTGGAAAAGCGTCCACAGTCTTCCTCCACACCCTTGATGCCCTTCTCAGAAGTTTGGCTAGTGAGGCAGCATAGTTTGAATTGGCTTCTCCCTCAGCTGCAGTACTATAAGACAGCCGAGGGCCCCAGGAACAACACTCCCCCTTCAGTCCTCCACCAGGGGTTCCCAGGAACTCTTCAGGGTCCACTCTTGTAAAAACGCTGGACTTCATGGTACCATGGACACGAGCACGGGTGGAGAAATATCTGGGTTTGGAGGCTACGTTTGTCGTTCTTGATGGGTAACCTCCTCACCCGTTGTTTTTCTTGCCTGTGGAAATTTCTTTCTTTTTTTTTTTTTTTTTCAAGACAGGGTTTCTCTGTGTAGCTTTGGAGCCTATCCTGGCACTCACTCTGTAGACCAGGCTGGCCTCGAACTCACCGAGATCTGAGATCCGAGATCCGCCTGCCTCTGCCTCCCTAGTGCTGGGATTAAAGGTGTATGCCACCACTGCCCGGCCACCTGTGGAAATTTAAATCGGGAACGTAACCTGCTTCAGTTATGAGATGATGGCAGCAAAGGCAGATAGGTAACAGAGCCAGGAAGACAGGCATGGTGGTGCACAGCTGTAGCTCCCATTACTCGGGAGCCTCAGGCCACAGGACAAGTTCAAAGTCAGGCTGGGATAGATGGTGAGAGTCTGTCCCAGAGTGAAGGAGCACAGGAAACCCAGACGCGGCGTATAGCAGGCGGCATGCAGTGTTTCAAGAGGTCCGCTGCTTGGCAAGCGGTGGGACCCAGCTTAGTCATAGCACACACAACACAGAGCGTAACATTCACAGCGGAACACAGCACGGTCACTTTCGCCATCACAACAATCCATGAGGGAGACCCTATTGTTATTCCCATTTTACACATAAAGAAATCGAGGCGCAGAAAGGTTCGATAGTTTGCCAGGTCACACACGGTAAGGGTGACCCCATGATTCTACCTGACCCAATGCATCCCCACCTCCTCAGAATTCTGACAGGGTGACCACAGGACACAAGTTGGTTGCCAGGCCCCCCCGGGCATCCCCGACCTACCTAAAGCCTTCAGCCACGAGAATAACTCAATACAAGCTGTACTGAACGGAAAGCATTTACCTATGACATTTTGTCCACAAGGTCACACACACTGTCCTCTGTTCCTGTTCTTTTTCTTCCCAGAAGAGCAAACATGTTTTAGTGAGACTTCCTGTCTTCTTGCACAATTCCGCATCCTTTCTCCTAGTTGTGACCGGCTGAAATCTATAGTCCGATTCCAGTGTGCCCCACCTGAACTGCATAGGTGTCTCTGTTCAAACCCTCACCCCTGCTGGTCATTTTCTCAGAGCCTGGGATAATTGTCATCTCTCTGGCCCCTACTTCCTCCATCCACTTCTGCTCCAGTGCTTCCTAAGGGAACTCTCCACTCATCCATTCTGAGGACACAGGGCCCCACTCTTCAACAGCAGTTTCCGGAGCACTGGCCCACCCCTGTTTTCACTGACATCTCTTTGGAGACTTCCATCCAGCACTATACTGGGGATAATAGCATCTCTCCAACCTAGGTTCTCTCTAAAGTATATGACAGGTCTGAAAATATATTTTTGGATCAGCTACTGCCTCCCTGAATAGCCAGGGCTACCTGTTTAAATCAAAGTCACCTCCGCTAACCCAGGGTAGCACTGGGACATTTTACTCTTCTGGGTGTCTCCTGCGCTTCAGGAGAGAGGAAGTGGGAGTCCACAGAGACAGAGTGTGTCTTCTCCGGGGTCAAGCTGAGTCCCTGCAGCTGGTAAGGTCATAAGGTCACACACGCACCCGAAGGTCACATGTGCATCAGGTCACACACTCACACACACACACACACACACACACACACACACACACACACACACACGTTGGCCGTAGTCTCCACGGGATCCTAGTGTGTGACACTCAGAACCGGGAAAGAGTGACAGATCTGACCCTGCATGTGATGCCAAGGTCTGGCGTATGCATCGTGTGGATGAACCCCTCTGCTGTTTCAGGGTAACTGGGACTTTCAAAGTTTTGCTCACAGTTTCCAAAACCTCCCACAGGGTTGTGTCAGTCAGCGGACGCGTGTCCCGCATCCACAAATTGTGAGAAAACCATAAATTACAAACTAAGCAAGACATTTCAAACCATGTGTTAGCTTTCCATCGATGGATCAAAGTGAGACAAATCAACCCAAAGGAGGAAAAGTATTTTTGCTCCTGGTGGCAGAGGTTCCAGTCCATAGCGGCACGGCCTTGTTGCCTTTGAGCTGTGATAAAGCCTCACATCACCCTAGGTGTGAGGAGCAGAGGAAAACTGCCTAGGTACCTCCCAGCAGCTAGGAAATACCAAGCAGAAGAAGGAAGTGCCAGAGAGTTCTGATACCCTCTTCAAGGGCACACTCAAATGACCTAACTTCCTCCTTCCAGGTCCCACCTCCTCAAGGTCCCGCCCCTCTGGCACCCCCCCCACCCCACCCAAGGCTCCAAACCAAGGCCTTCATTCAACACGGGCGTCTTTGCAGGAACATTTCAGATCTAAACAATCGCCAGCTGAATTCAAAAGGAATTGAATAATTAATCTTTTCAACTGTGACATGCTCCCCGTGACATTCATAATGGACTGCTGTTGTCGGTATTTTTATGATTTCTATTTAAATTTATTTTGCTTTGATTTCAAGAGCAATTTGCATTACTATTTTCTCTTGTTCTGCTGTCTGCAACTGAGACTGTCATAATAGCTATTTCTAGCAATCAGATCCTTCTGCCTAGAGACATCTCATGGTTTCATTACAAGCCCTGTAAGCCACACCGTGATTATGGGGATTACCTGAGACCTCCAGGGTTCTTTCAATCCTATGTTAACAATCTCAGAACATAATTTGGTAACTCTGTTTGTGTGAGTTTGGTTTCTCAGATGTATTTGGTTCATGTCCCAACCATGGGGCGGGGCGGGTCACAAAACTAAATATCCTTTTCAAATACTTAATGGACAAGGAATATGTTTACTGAAGCTGAGTGCGATGCCATGTACCTGGGGAGGCTGAAACGGGAGGATCCAAAATTTGGGCCCTTTCTGCTTCAAATCCAAAAGAGACAAATATACATTTTTAACTAGCCCTAAATAAGCTAGGGCTGTGAATTGAACCAAATACATCTAAGAAACCAAGCTCACACAAACATATTCACCAAATTATGTTCTGAGATTGTTAACACAGGATCAAGAACCCTGGAGGTCTCAGGAAAACTTATTCTTGATAATCCAGGTGAGCCTCATTCACTCTGTTGAAACGCCTTAGGGACAAACTTGAGGTTTTCCCTCAGAAGAAAACAAATTTGCCTGAAGACTATTCCCTGCACCCAGCTAAGAGTTCCCAACCAGCTTCCTTCCCTACAGGCTGTGTACTATAATCTACTAGGGATGCACAATTATAAAAAACCTCTTCAAGACTTTGACAAGAAGTCGTCTCTGAGGCTGGAGAGATAGTTCATGGGTTAAGAGTATATGATGTTCTTTCAGAAGACCAGAGTGTGATCCCCAACACGTATGTCAAGTGACTTACAAATACCTGCAAATCCAACTCAGGGGAGGAAGTCTGGTGCTTCTGGCTCCCACAGACACCTGTACTCACACAGACACACCATGAACACATAATTTCAAAATAATAAAAATAAACCTTTTAAAAAAGATAAATCGCCTCTTGGTACATGCTGTATTTAAGCTCCAAAAGGTCACCACACATACTAATTTAGTGAACACAGGGTTATTGCTCCTCCGGGAGATATGAGGCTCAGCACTTGCAATTCTCTGATCACGCTGCTTTTAAGTTTGTAATAGACTTATTACAAACAATCGGTTTTCACAGCCTTTGAATGATTTAAAGCCGGGGCTTTTGAGGACATTTTGTGCTCCTTGGCGTCTTAGCACAAGGTAGTCTCACATAGTCTGAAAAGCTGCTCCTCCATGAAACCCTTCTTCCTCACCTTGGCAGCTGCTTTTGGAAATCTTCTGCAGATTTCTGATTTGCATAATCTTCCTTACATGCCCGCATCACACATATCATATGGCACAGCTCTGGGGGATGTGTGAGTCAGATAGCGCTTGCCCAGGGACTAAGTAAGCTCTTGACAGACCCTGGGTCACATGGCTGAGCTTTGTCTTTCTTTTGTTCTTGAAGCAATGCTATCTATTATGCTTTTATCCATTATGATCTCAGGAATTCACAAATTCAGCTAGATTTAAAGTATTTTTCTTATCCACATCAAAACTTACATATGTTGTGTTTTTGTTGTTGTTGCTTTGTTTTGTTTTTAACTTTCCTGGTGACTTCCTGTATGGAACAGTGAATTTCTTCTTCCTACAGTGAAAGGAGATATGTTGTAACATTGACTCATTAATATTCCTAATGATGGCTCGCTAACACATGGACTGTCCCAGAAGGCCAAACACAGACTTAGGCTTAAGAACACCAAAGGGAACTTAGCCCAAGGCTTACGATCCACTATAGAGAGTAAATATTAAAAATTAAAAAACTTTAAAAATGAGGGAAAAAACATAGAATGGCACTAAAACACAGTGCACACATACACACACACACATGTGCGTGCATATACAGCAAAAAAAGAACTTGTAAGTGTAAGCATTGAAAGAAGAAGGCACAGTGAGCCAGATGGGTGTGGTGGCATGTCTATAATCACAGCAGCAAGGATTCTGAGACAGAGAATTATAATAAACTCAAGGCCACCTTAGGCTACACAGTAAATCCTGCCTCAAAAATAAATAAATGTGCCGGGCGTTGGTGGCACACGCCTTTAATCCCAGCACTTGGGAGGCAGAGGCAGGCAGATCTCTGTGAGTTCCAGACCAGTCTGGTCTACAGAGCGAGTTCCAGGGCAGGCTCCAAAACAATACAGAGAAACCCTGTCTCGAAAAAAAAGCAATAAATAGATGCATAATTAAATAACAAAAATGAACTAGCCATATCCAACCTCCTCTAAGAATACTTGGGTCAGGCAGCTCCACAAACACGGTGGGTAGTAGATGGATTACCAAGTATGGAATATGGGTATCAAGACAATATGCTCCCATACACATAGTGTGTGTTCATGACTGGGGGGGGGCAAATGTGGGGTGGGGAGAGTGCTTGTGTGTGTCCTACTGCTTCCATTTCCAGATATCACTCCTCAAGTACCCTAGGAGATTCTTTTTTTCCTCATTGGAATTCAGTATTGAATCAGCGTCGAATAAATATTTGTGATTCAACTGACAGGAATGTCCAAGTTTCATAAAACATCCTGGCATAAAATATGATATTAGTGAAGGAGCCCCAAATCACAGATGGCTCGGATGCATGTCTCACAAATGGGGTTGGGTGCTGCAAGTCACCACTGGCAGGATGACCTCATGACAGTATGACCAGAAGGGCAGTGTTCACCCCTTCCGATGCTAACATAGGAGAGATTGCCCCAGCTCATAAAGCTGGAAAGAAAAGAAACCACCCCAAATTATACACGGGATTATTGGTACAGTTAATGCACAAAGCTACACACATGGGCTAATTCTATAAAGGCCAAGTGTCCTTTAGAAAAGCTGAAATTTGAACTAACAGAGGTTGAGGGGTCTACTGAAGGGCCCGGATCTCAGGGTCACCTAAAGGAGATGCTGTGACAAAAACACTGGTTTACTCCTTTTGAAGGTGTTCAGAAAATGCTCTGGTGGTCTGGTGAAAGCATAGACATTTAAAGAACTTCTTCACAATATGGATCCAGGCTAACAATAAATCCAATGTTAAAAATGAGAACACAAAAAAGAAACTGAGAAGTGTAACTCCCTGAATAGCTATAACCAAGCGAGGTGCTGTAAATGGCATTATGTTTCATGCGTTTTCATTATTATAAGATCACCTAAAAGTTACAGTTATCTACAGTGAGATGGCAATGTTTTTAAATGTAGATGAATTTACCCCCCACCATGTCAAGCATACTAAGGAAATTCTCATAACATGTTTGAAGGGATGTTGGGTGTGTGGTTTTCACATGACTGTGACAAAACGGCCGATGAAAGCAACTTAGGGAAGGCTCATTTTTGGTTTGTCAGTTGGTGGTAGAGCCTATCCTGGTAGGAAAGTCATGATCGTGAGGCAGCCCCCATGACATCTGCCATCAGGAAGCTGAGAGGCATGGATGCCAGGACTGAGCTCACTTTCTCCCTTTTCACTGAGTCCAGTATCCCCCCCATGTGATGGTACCCCCACCCTACGTTCAGGGTTGGTCTTTCCTCTCCAGGTAAACATCTCAGAAAAGGTCACAGGCAGACCCAGAGGTGTGTCTCCCAGGTGATCAAGTCAAGTTGACAATGAAGATGAACCATCGTCACACTGTGGAATAAATACATTTATCTCACAGAGTAAAAGAAGATGGGAGGTAGAAAAATTTCAGAAGCAATACCTTTATAGATGTCATGCAAAGCAAAAGACTTGGGGAAAGCAGCAAGAAGAATGTTGAAGATGTAGTAAAAGGAAGGACTACAAGCCCTGTATGGTGGGGTACACCTGGAATCCCTACACCCAGAAGCTGAGGCAGGAGGCTCCCCTGCAAGTTGAAGGCCAGCTTGGTCTACACAGTCAGATTCTGTTTCAAGAACAAAAAGAGAAGGACTAGAAAGAAGAGGAAGAGGAAAAAAAGCCTCTAATGATCTTTGCTTCCTGGAACATGTGCCTTTCTATAATCCTGTCCCACAATGAATGAGGGATTGCACATGTGACTAGCAGAGTATTATAGAAATGATGGTTATGACTTTCAAGGTCTGAGCATAAAGGCAACTGCCACCTGCCCAGCTCTGTCTGCTCCCTGTGGGAGAGCCAGCTATAGTTCACAGAGACAGGTAACCAACCACATGGATTTCCTGCAGGGACAGGAAGAGAAACTGCAAGCGTCTAAAATCACTCTTCCGGGCAAGAGGAATACTTGCGTTATTTATATGTGCTTTCCCTCCTCTTTTTTGGTGGGTAATTTGACCAACGGAAGAATAATTTTAAAATATGGTTGAAAAAGGAACAGTGTGTTCTAGGGTAAAGAATTTAAAAGAAACATACAAAGTATAAACATAGGGTCTCAGTGTAGGAAAAGGGACCAGTCAAAGAAACATACCCTGAGCAGAGCCAAAGAAACACACTTTGACCCTGCAACCAGAACCAAAGAAATGTACCCTGACCCTAAAACCAGTGCCAAAGGAACACACTTTGTCCCTGGAATCAGAGTTGGTGAAAGAAATGTACCCTGGCCCTAAAATTGGAGCCAAAAGGCTTAAAAGGACCAGAGAAAGAAACACACTTTGGCCCTGAAACCAGAACCAAATCTGACCCTAATTCTGTGTAAAAAAGTAACCAATCCCGGAGCAGAGCTCTAGCCAATCTGAGCTCAGCACTGAAATCGGACCAATCCCTACTCTGGAAAAACTTCCCCACCCCCCAAGAATCCCTATATAAGCCCTGTGTATGTTCAGCTTGGCTGGTCCAGCTGCCTTCCAATAAACCCCTTTGGATGAGCTTTGGGTGAAGATCTTCTTTTGCAGTGGCAACAGAGCAGAGGTGACCCTGGGCAGAGCAGAGCAGAGCGAGCAGCGCTGTAACACTTGCCCGGGAAACCTTCCTCGGCAGATCGGAGTTGTTACACTCTGCTCCCCGCTCCCCGCTCCCCTCTCCCTGCTCCCCAGGAGCAGAGCTGAACTATAGCAACTTAGCCCGAGAAACCTCCTGCCAAGCAAAACTGCTACACTAGGCGAACATCCCCAGCTGGAAGACCCTGTCCTGCTGGAGTGGAGCTGATACACCGGAGAAGCCTTTCTCTGAGGCAAGGCTGTAAGCTGCTAAGCTTACTGCAACCTGTGGTGGTCCTTGGCTCCCGAGCTCCAGGATACCTTTCCACCTGAGCTGTGTAACACTAAGTATTCTGTGACTCCCAAGTGCCAGAATACCTGACCCACTCCTGTCCCGACCCATCCCGAAACGCTTACACTCAGGACATTTCATTTCAAACAGGAGGCATACCAGGTCATAGTTACCCTTTCCTCTCACTTGAATTAGCTGCCTTTTTTTTTTTAGAAAGAAAACTTAACAAACGACATACCACAGTTCACCACCGTAAACCTCTGCAGTAAAACCACTTTACCCACACTGAATGCTTGTTCAGACATGCATTCACTTTAAAATCCTGGCCAAAAGCCTGTAAAGTAATTATAACCTTGAAAAAGATCCAGCCCTCGCAAAAGTTGCACATAATTTTTCTCCCCCAGAGGAACAGAATGATCTAAAAAAAATCCATACGCTATTAGGACCCAGGTTTAATTCCTCAGCGAGTTAGCACTTTACAGGGAAGGTGGAGTGCGATGAAGTTCCCGTTTTGCACCTGAGTTTAACGGAGCTTCTGGAAATTGCTAAGCCCAAGGCCCTGCACCGTGGACTCTCACTGTTCTCCAACCCAATGATGATGTGAGTGAGACTACAGCAAATTATCAGCATCTAACATGTGTCAGATGGAGGCCAAATCCACGCAGGACCCACTGGGATAAGGAGAAAAATAGACCCAAACAACACTCTCCATGGCTGCTTTGTTAGGCACTTTTTCCTATTGCTATAACAAAACACTTGACCAAAACACTTAGGGAAGGAAGGAGGGGCTTCTTTTGTCTTGCAGTTTGTTGGAAACCACTCATCACTGTGGAGAAAGCATAGCAGCTGGAAGTAGCTGTAGCCACAATCATGAAGCAGAGCAAGATGAACGCTGGTGCTCAGCAGGCTTTGCCCTTTTCAGTCCGTCTAGTGCTCAAACCAATAGGATGGCGCCACCCACAACCAGGGCAGGTCTTCCTTCTCCCAACTAATAGCATGGTGCCACCCACAAACCAGGGCAGGTCTTCCTTCCTCCAACCAATGGTGCCACCCACATTCTTCCTTATTCTTTCTTCCAACCAATAGGATGGCGCCGCTCACAACCAGGGCAGGTCTTCCTTCCTCCAACCAATAGGATGGTGCCGTTCACATTCAGGGTGAGTCTTTCTTCAGTTTAACCTTTCTGGAAACACCATCCCAAGTCCTGTCAGTTTGGTGGAGGATTAACCATCTCAGTTACTGAACATCCCAGCTGTCAAGGGTTCAACCTCACAAATACAGGGCTGACAACACTGCGAAATCTGGGTCTAAATTCAAATACCTAAGCATCCTATTTTCTCGGTATGTGATTGCCAAGGAAATTATACAACATTTCCTGAGTTCTGTATATCCTAGGGCAAGTGTGGCTTTCAGGGTGTGTGCCAGCCAGAAGCATTACTTTTCTGGCTTAACACAGATACTCTTTAGCA